CTTCAGCAGCATAAGGTACATTCTGGCAAGACTCTGCACAGACAGTGGCTTGCTAGATTTTGGAATTCAGCCTGTAGAAAGAGAAATATATGTAGCAGGAAAAAGGGAAGAAAACAATGGGTGTTTTCTGTGCCTAGGATAGCCAGCTAATTAGATGCAGGCTGGTTTTGTTTCTGGCTAAGAGACTTGCAGAAAACACGCAATGGGTAAAAGGTAATTCTGCCTGATGGACCAGCACATATCTTCATAATACCTGTAGTATTCTGAAGAAACTAAAATTCTATTTAGCTGTCAAAAGCGACGCTTATTTACTTAATTATTGGTAAAAGAAACTCAAAGAAAGAAACAAAAATACCTGCAAACCAGACACCCCCAAAACAACAACAAAAAAAAGTGTGGAGGCTTTAAGCTACTTGGTATGTCTTTGCTAAAATCACACAGGAGCAGACAGAAAGGACCACATACTCTGACGGATTGATCGTGATGCTCAAACAGAATAAAAAAGAGAAAAAAAAAAAAGAGGTTAACAAAAGTGTTGAATTATAACAACAAACTCAAACAACCAGACATAGAACTTAGTGATATTTTTTTCCCAGCATTTTGTCACATTGTTTACAGCAACATGAATAAAAATATTTACCTCTATTACCCAGGCTCTTAAAAAAGACACGCTTAAAAAAACCCAAAGACCCAACCCTTTACATTTTTCAGATTTTTTTCTCCACTCTCCACACTTCAGATTTTTTTTCTCCACACTCAGGCAGTGTTTTGATCTTTCACGTTGGGCTGACAGTCTTTAAGAACTTACACCCTCATTTATAAAGCTTTTGGTGAACTCACACCACTGTACTAAACCAAACTATCCTTTATGCAGCTCCATGTTCCTATGAGCAAATAACAGCCTGTAGGGATTCAGCACATCAGCTGCTTAAAAGATAAACCTACCCAGCTTGATGAAAACTCTTCACCACCTTCCTGTTGAGAGAAAACGGTTACACATTTCTAATAAATGAAGCAGGAACTGTCATTTTTTTGGCAAACTGGTAACTAGCTGTAACAGCCGCATTGCCACAAGTTGCTTTTCCAAAGTAATTACCATCAGGCTCCCTGTGGTATGCAGTGTTTAACACATTTCTTCTGTGTTAATGAATGCAAAAGCAGGCAACACCACTATTAGTAATTGCTTTTTATTCGTAGTCCTCATTTTCCAGATAGGTCACATTAAACACAGCCATTAAACAATAGCGGTTGAGATAATCCATACAATGTATGCTGCTTTTGTTTGTTTTTTGTGTCATTCACCAGTCATTGGTGCAACTTTGAGCCATATGGGGAGACAGGGGCTGATAAATGCAAATGCCAACCTGTATCACAACTGGGCCAGAGAAGTCAAAACCTTAATCAGGTTTCATTCAATTACACTTCAAATCAACAAATCTTGATAGCCAAAACTCCTATTTGAATTAATGCAATAATAATCACTGTCTGATGTCAAAAAAAAGTATATGTTATGCTAGGCTTCAGACTCCTTCTTGACCTCCGCAATTTCCCTTCCATTGGACAGCAAGCAGCTTGAAAGTTTGTTTGAATGATGTATCTTGCTCCACTATGAGCAATGTTTGACTTCTAGGAGTAACTCGGACTGGTAAACCTATATTTTCAAGTGGCAAACCACAGTTCAGGAGAATCTCTTTCCTGACAAATATGCCAGAAAAAAAAGGTCTGATTTTGAGTCCTGATTTGATTGCCTGAATTGGCCAATTGTTTAAGTAACTCCCAGTTGCTGGCTTGCATTAATAAAAAACAGATATAGAATGCCTTATTTGTTATTCACAGTGTACAGTACAATTTTATTAGTTACTTAACTTGCCTCCCTTAACTCCACCATTTTTTTTACAATTATCATATTTTCTTTCAGTCTTATAAAACATGTATGTAAGGAATGAGAGAAATAACTCATAAACTTCATCTTTCATTGCTGCCTCTTTCTCCAGTGGTGGTAGTAGAGCTACCAAGGAGAAAAAATACTTTTTATTTCTTTTGTGTGTAGTACTTCCTTCACACACAATTGTGTTAATTTTGACTGAACCAGCAAAACTCACATTTTATAAGCTCTGCTGGTTTACTGGTTCATCATGTATCCATCCTAAATTGTGAAACAGATTTTCTAACCTGGAATATCCTTATTGGAAGCAGTATGCCAGAGATCTACAACACAAGGCAGTTTTCAGCCAAATTAAATAAAAGCAAGATTTCCTAAACTCTTCTATAAAGCTGTGAGTCATGAATTCTGAATTACCTCAGAGTGGTAAATAAATAATCACAACTAAATACAGATAATGTGTTAAACAGCTAAAGCTAGTAAATCACTAGTGACAGAGAGCCTTAAGGTAAATTCCTCTTACATTGGCACAGCCCTTTCTCAGAATGTTGTGGTTTTATGTCTTCAGAAACATACAATGAATTGTACAATTGGTTACTCAGTGTTAAAATCATTTATAAAACACACAAATCTCCATCACTTGACTGCATTTACATACTGGCTTAGATTTTGCTGAATAATGGAATTCACTGGCAGAGCTAAAGACTTGGTGCACAGACACTGAAGTGATGGGCACCACAGAAATACGTATAAAAGACTGATCAAACAATAGGAAATCCTCTCCACTATGGAATTTCAAGCTATCAAGCTATCAAGCAAAACCAATCTCGGGTCTCCTGGCCAAAAAAAAAATAAAAAAAATATTGTATAACACAGACAACACCACATTTTAGATACATAAATTGTCCAAAACATGGAGAGTAGCTTGATAAAACATGTACAAGATCCTTTTTTTACACGTAGTTGTAGACTTTTTTTAACAGGAGGAGCTAAAAACAAACTGTCAGAATGATTGTGTCCCAAAGACAATTCATTGTAAGACTGACTAGTTAAAATCACCATTTAACAGCAATCCCAACATCAAAACAGGCTGCTGGGTCAACTTTCTTTCCTGAACTGATGAAAACTACGGCTTTGTGGGATTTGAGATTGCCAACCTCTTTTATAGATGTTTGTATAGTACAGATTAAATTTAATAAACACAATACACCGTTTTTAAACAATGTGCCATAGTGGTATTTCCAACAGCATGGGAAGTACAAAAGGGACAAATACTGAGCTAAACGTTTTATTCTTCTGTTTCTTCTTGTTCTGTGCAAGCTCATTTTGAATGTGGGTTGGTTTTTAACTGTCATCTGAAGGCAATTTTGAATGTTTCAAATGCAATAAAAGCACCCTTAGAAAAAAGTAGAAACTATAACCCAAGTTATTCCACAAATACTTTTCAGAACAAATGAAAAACAAACTAAAAACACCCCCAAAAATAAGCAGTGTATATCTAGAACTGCAGTAAGCAATGGCACATTCTAAAGAATCAGGTAAAATACCACCCCACATTGACACTGACGTGTTTTTCAGCTCTATGAACTTAATAGCAAGACTTTGAAAATAGTGGCATCTCTTAAGAAGTCAATCAAATATCCTTCATGAAACAGGCTGGCTGAGTGTGTTTGGAAAAAAAAAACCCCAAGGAGGTTCCAGATGTTGGTTCAAGTGTAATTTTTGTTATTAAACATGGGTTTGCAATAGAAGCTTCTACAAGGACTTGCACATAACCATGACTGATGGATGTATTTGTAGGCCGTTCAGTTAGCTCCATCAGCTCACTCAAACACATTTTGAACAGATTATGTACTGCAGTACTTTGTAGACCATACATTAAACAAGAGACTTTGCTCTGAGGCACTGCTTCCCACAATCCATGGGGAAAAGGAAGCAGGAAAAACAAAACTCATAGAGTTCGACAGCTACCGAGGCAACACTTGCCATTTACAATATAAGCCCAAATATTTTTGCAACACAACTATATATTAATTTAATAAAATACACAATATAGCTCTTATACACTCAACAATTTGGCTCATATGCACTGAATCTGCAATAAATCAATAAAAATATGTCATTTGATGTAAACACACTGAATCTTCTTACATTTGCACATTTAAATGATCATGTGATTTCTGTGGATGTCTAAGACATTTTCACTTTCCTGAGCTATTTTAGTGTCCACAAAGGAATAAAAAAGTGTTAATAATGTTAATTTCTTTTGTGTATTACCCTTAAAGGTAACTATTTTTTTACAACTTTATTTTACTTCAGTGTTTTTAAAACTTACTGCTACCTATTTATAGTTTTGTTGGACACTAAAACGCTAAATAGATATTAAAATCTTTTTTTTTCTTTTTTATCAAGTGAATTAGCTTATGTGTGTGCAGGACAAATGGACTATATCATTTTACATTTAACCTTAATATGATACGGAGTGTTTTACTAATGATCAGGATATGTTTTATTGAATAATGATCTGGAATGGGTTTTTTTGTTTTCTTGTTCTTTTTTTTTTTTTTTCATATTTGTGGCAGATAACTTTGTACATAAATGTTTACCACAAATGAATGTTAATGTTTGGTGTCACTTGGACTACTACAAGAACTCTTTTTAGGACTTTCAGTAGAGAAGCCTGTGGTGACAGCTGGAAATCCACCACAGATCAGAATCATTCAACCCTGTTTTTCTTGGGGTTTATACGTAAACAGTAAAGTCAGCATCAGCTTTTGAGGACAGTCTTAAAGTACCAGACGTATTTCCATTCCACCTTTCTCACACCTTCCTATCAGATTGTCAAAATGGCACCTTCTTTCCTTCTTTCATTTTGTTCTTAGTGTACTTGACTCTGTCCTAACGAAAGTTTGGTCAAAATGAAACCAGTGTTATCTGTCAAAAAGAAAGAGCAGTGAAAAGAACATACTTGTGGGCACTTCAGATGTTCACTAAAAGCCTTAAAGCAGCATTGGTCTTCCTTCATTCCTGTAAATCTGTTACAACCAGGGGATTTATTTATTTATTTACTTTTAAGGGGAAGAGGAACGTAACTGCCAGCCTGTCGTTATTTTTCCCCTCACTTTCTGACGGCCACAGGGTCACTTCCCCGACAGTCCTGCAAGAGCTTGTCTATTTCTCTCACAACTTCCTCGGCATCCACCGACTCCCTGCCTAGATCCCGGGCTGAACGGTCTAACTGCTCCAGAACAGAGTCCATCTCACTCGAGTCTCGGCTCACGCGGGAATGCACATCTGCAAAGGCCCTAGCCATCTGATCTGATGCAATGAAGGGAGCGTCTTTTGACTGTTTACTAGGCGATAGATACTGACTGTCAGTTGACAAGTACTGGCTGCTTGGTTCAGCCAAGGCTCCTGATTTCACTTCACAACCATCCAGTGGTCCTTTTGTTGAGGTGCAAGGCTCAATGCATGTCTTGGTTGGGCTGCTCGATGCTGAGGGAACCTCCTGAAGCAGAGGACTCAGGGCACGTTTGGCTTTTAAGTAAGGTTTAACATTGGCAATGAGAATAGTGTGCTCTCTCTTGTCTTTCCCAAATGTACAAAAAGTCTTTTTCCCAGTGGGATTCACAGTTTCGTATGTCTCAGTTTCAACGTTAGCTTCAACTGTGGGTACAAAGAGATTTGTGCGATAATCTGCATTCTCAGCCTGACTGGCTGCAGGGAACTGTGGCATCCAACACCTGTCAGAATGACCAAGCACTCTGCATTCATCTGTGCAGTTAACACATTCTTCTTGTTCTGTAAAACAAAGGAGAAAGAGAAAAAACTCTAATTATAAATGGATTTCTTTAAACTAATGGATAGGCTACGATCATCACGTGATGGGCTTACTTGACATATGGTTTCTTAATTATGGAGAAAAAAAACATCTATAATTAAAATATTTCAGAAGGATTGCATAAACCTGTTAGTTGAGACAATAGATTTATTTAACTCTGTTCTGTGTGTATTAAAGTATTCACACAGCCCAATGCAAGTATAAAGGGGTCATTAGAGAATGATTCTCAGTGGAATTGAGCTTCATCTGTAAACTAATCTGCTGTAGAAATCTGTAAGGCTTTGTTCTGTAAAACTCATCCTAGAAAAGAGTGAACAGTACTTAAGAAACTCAAAAGGCATTATCAGGATTAATTTTTCAAATCAAATAACTGAGCAATGACTGCCTTTCTGGAAATACAAACACTTCATAAAAATCAGCAAGCTGGCTTTTCATTTTTGTCACCTCCATTTCATTTATAATTGTTGTGTTGTGTGACAGTCACAAAATAAAAAGGTTTTTGTAAAAAGCCTACTTTTCCTGCTGAGAACAGAGAACTAGAATTTTCCATCAGTATGCATTAAATATAAGCTTGTCAAAAAGTGCATATTGCAATTTTATTAGACATGAGTATAGATCATGTAATCAGTTTTTCCCTTTTTTGTTTTGGTGCAAGTAAGTGAAAACGGATTTGCTCAATACATACAATTTGGAAGAATGAAAAACTGACACATTATTTGAACTGATAATGTTTTCAGATAGGATTTCTATACTCTTATTTCTTTCAAAGAATATAGTTAAATAAGATTTTTTTTATTCATTACATTTTTAGAACATAAATTTTGATACTTCCTGTTCTACACTTCAAAGACATAAAGAAAAAGTTCTGCTTTCAATGCCTTAGCTTGTCTGTCATTTTACACTAACAGAACATGTTTGGGTCACCATTTACCATTTTATAATTATACACATGAGTCTAACCCAATATTGGGGATAATGAAAATTCCAGAAATACCCCTTAAAACTGTTTTTTAGGAAAACACAATTCTGAACTAAGTTGCTTTCTTATTGTTCTTCGTCTTAGTGCTCTCTAGTCAATACTGATAGAATAAATCCTTTTACCAGCTCTAGGTTTCAATCAGCTATACACTGGTCTTTAGTTAGTATGCATTTTCTTCCACAAAATGAGCAGATAAATTCAGATATTCATTTTATTTAAGGAATTTAGTCTTTACAAAATACCTGGAATTCCAGTTAGACAAAAATCTATGAGTATGCCTTTAAATGTAAACACAAAGACAAAGACATCGTCTTCAGAAAAGCAGGACAAACTTGTTGACACAAAGATAGGGAAAATTTAAGTTATTATCATCTCTCTAAATTAGAAAATAAATTCCTAGTAATCTTATAATATCTCCACCAGATTTATGGACAGTTGCACTGCAGAAACCTGACACAGAGGAAATACCAAAGGTGATTTATGAGAATCCAGCAGTGTAAACAGCTTTGACTGTTCACATTTCTAAAAAGACATGAATAAATGTGACTTAAATTTAAATAAAATTGTGTTATGTCACAATGATCAGTTAAATCGGGGTGAGATAATTTACTCAGAACTGATACTTTGTTAATGATACAGTTCTGTGAAAAAGTGTCATTCTGTATATGTACTCCCTTCCTTGGGAAGTTTAAAGTATAAGACTGGTGTAAGGCCTAAAAAAAATCAAAAGCAAGAGAGACTGAGATACAGGAAGGAGAGAACACTGAGTGATTTTTGAGGAAAAGAATGTAACAGAAAGGCTTTAAGTATAAAATTCATAGAGGTGAGTCAGCCTCACCTATGTGCCTGGTAAGGTCATGGAACAGATCTTCCTGGAAGATATATCAAAACATATGGAAGACAGGGAGGTGATTAGAGACAGCCACTATGGCTTCACTAAGGGCAAATTGGGTCTGACTAAATTATTGGTCTTCTACAATGGAGTGACTGCATCAGTGGACAAGGGAAGAGCTATGGATGTCATCTACCTAGATCTTGTAAGGCCTTTGATACGGTCCCCCACAATATTCTTGCTGCTAAATTGGAGAGATATGGGTTTGATGGATAGACTGTTAGATGGATAAGGAATTGTCTGGATGGCAACTGGAGTTGCAGTCAATAGCTCAGTGTCCAAGTGGAAACCAGTAGTGAGTAGTGTCCCTCAAGGGTCCATACTGGGACCAACATTATTTAATATGCACATCAATAACATAGACAGTGGGACTGAGTGCACTCTCAGCAAGTTTGCAGATCACACCAAGATGCGTGGTGCAGTTGATTCGCTAGAGGAAAGGGATGCCATTCAGAGGGGTCTTGACAGGCTTGAGGAGTAAGCCTACATGAACTTCATGAAGTTCAACATGGCCAAGTACAAGGTCCCGCACATGTGTTGGGGAAATCACCATTGTCAACACAGACTGGGGGATGAATGGATTGAGAACAGCCCTGTGGAGAATGACTTGGAGATACTGGTGGATGAAAAATTGGACATGAGCTGGCAATGTGTGCTCTCAGCCCAGAAAGCCAATTGTATTCTGGGGTGCATTAACTGAAAGAGGTGGATTTAGATTGTACATATTTAATACGAGGATGGTGAGACACTGGAGCAGGTTTCTGAGAGAAGTTGTGGATGCTCCATCACTGGAAGGTTTCAAAGTCAGGTTGGACAGGGCTTTGAGCAACCTGAGCTAGTGAAAGATATTCCTGCCCATGGCAGGGGGGTTGGACTATATGATCTTTCAAGGTCTCTTCCAACCCAACCCATTCTATGACCTCCAAGGAAAAGTAAGCTGCATGCTCGTTTTAGTGTACAATAAAAATTAGAATTATCATAATGAAAAGCAAAAGTAAAAGACAACCCCAGCCCTGGGACTGTAACACAGTGATAGAACTGAGAAGAGTTTAAGGAAGAGATTTAAGTTTGTGGTGTTTGATTTCACTTCACTTGAATGAGGCAGCATTGGTATGCATAACCATAGAGACAACATATGTGGTGACAATTGCTTAATGAAAGGGAGCCATACAAATAAAGGATGTTGCTATACACCTCAATCCACCCATTAGTTCACCTCCACTGAAGTTCTCTGTATCTAGTTTTCTAGAGCTTCTACAGCATTAAACAGCTGCTGCTTAAAACAGCCAAGTGAAACTGCTACTCTCCAAAAAAAAAGGAAAACATAAAACTCCACAAAACAAACAAAATCAACTCATTTTACACATGGGGCAAGAGCACTGGAGAGAAAGATTTCAAGCTTTAGCATGGGATGGGCAATAGTTAATACCAGCCAGGTTTGATTACATTTTATCACAGAAATACAACAGATAAACAAACAAAAAAATGCCCAAGCCCAACAACTTCAACATTAATTCTAGAACATTCCATTTTGCAAATGCTTGCTATATAATTAATTTTGCTCTTTTTCTCTTCCTCCTACTCCTACAGAGTAGATTTGTGGTAAGTTCAGCCTCTAGCTTTAAAAGTGGACCTATATGATAAGGAGGAGTAACAGGTGTTTTGTTTAGGATTTTCTCTAAAAATATATAAAATTGTTTTTCTCTTATATGGAATTCATGACAATGAGTAAAAGTTTTCTGGCACTTTTAAAGGTTTCCCTAAACAATTAATCAGCTTTCCAATTAACTGTTTTATTTTGTAAACTTAACTATCCTTTGTATGAATTTTTGTAAATAATGTTGGTCCCTTTTTAACAAGAGATGAAAATAAATGCATGTTGCATGTTAGCTACCGTAAAATCCTCAGAACTGCACAATCAATGGACCAAGACTTCTCTTTGCTGCTCGCTCTCTTTTCAATTATTCCAACAAAACAGGACTCCTTTTTGCATCTTTCTTTTTCACAGGAAAAAAACCAACAAAGTAGCACTTCTTGTAAAATTTTCTAACCATATTTAAAGTGTCAAGAGCTCATAGTGTATTGGGAAGCCATCAGTGAACACAGTTGGGAAGATATCAATACACTACAGCCTATTTCATTAAACCACAAAAGGGCCATCTGTAGAAGGGAAACTGTTCCTGCCTTTTGGGTAGTAGTTCTGTGTCATATTATCTTAAAATGCATTAAATAAATGTTCATATTTTTATATACAATTCTCTGCTATCTGGAGTGACAACATATATATGTATATGAAATATGAAACTGGGAAATTCTATTTCATCACTGTCTCTTACTCCAAAATTTGACTGAACTGGATTTGGTTTTTTTAAAAAAATATATATATATATTCCCTGAACTGAGATTGAAATGAACAAATTTCTATGAAAGGTAAAGATCAGAGAAGTTCTCAGCTGCTGGAAATAAGTTAACTACACTAGGTATTCAGTACCGTGACAAAAACTATGCTTTGAGATTTTCAAGACTGATTAGGTTAATTTTGTTATAACCATGTTATGTTCTAAGATTTTAAATTCTTTGCTCTTATGTATGTGCTTACACACACGCTGGGTGTGAGCATAACTCTCATATAGTATTTACATTATTCATTACTTCCAATAAAAATACAAAGTTTTCTGGCAATCTCTAAGTAAAAGAAAGATATATCATACAGCAAATAAATGTTATATATATTGCATGCCATATCTTCCTTCCCATTCTCATTTCCTGCATTTGCTAAACCAGTTTTTATACTTGCATTCATACTCAACAGTATCGACTAACTTTCCATTTCTGCTCCCTGGGCATCCTAGCAGTGACTGAATTAAATATGAAGCCAAAAAAGAGGAAGAAACAAGTACTGAATGACCTTGAAGTGAAAACCACCTGCACTGCATGAGCTTTGGAGTTCTAGTCTTGCAAATCTGTGTCTTTTCACTTCACTCTTTTATGTCACATCATAGGAAACGGATTTTGAGTATTGATTATCATACATTATAAGCTGCTCCTCTCACCATTAGCCTGTAATTTTGACTGCTACAGCTAGCAGACAGTGAAGAAAATCGAACAAGCACTTTTGTACTAGCAGCAGAAACTATAAACACGAAATGAACTATCACCACCCAGGGCCAAATTAGTATATATGAGAAAATAAAATCAATTTAATGGTAAATATATAAATAAATATATGTAAAATAGGTCATACACTGTGCTATGCAGAGTGATATGCACCATCAGTCCTTATGTCTGTACTTGTCTCCCTCCTGTTGAAAATAAACCCCTAACAGTGCAAGTGTGTACAATAAACAGGAGCAGCCTAGAGATTTTCCTAACTCTCTGGAGCTTTAAGGGTAAACAGTCAGAAGTGCTTTATGCACTTAGGGGAGAACATACACTGAAATAGAACTGCTAAATTATCAGCCATAGAAAGAAAAGGAAACAACCTACCTGGAAACAACAGTCACCTAGGTAGGAAATGTGTACTGGATAGAAATTTAAGATGGTGTATGATGAAAGTTATGTTGGCAACATATAAAATGCAATGCAAGGTATGTATTTTGTTGCAACATAAAACACATCTTGCATATTTTATTCTGTATCACCAGAGGAGCTATATTTAACATCTGTCTTCTGTAGCAAGCTTAAAGCAAAAGATACTTTTATTGTGCTACCTTTAATTTCCTACGCTTTCCTCATAAATATTGTGAACAGAATTAAATATGGGTACTGATTTCACCCTAAATATATTGCACTATAAAGTTAATTAATTAATGCTTTAGATAGCTGGCTCCTTTCAATGGCTAAAACTTAGATATCTTAGTTTGACTCACTAATTATATGAAATTTGCATAATGATAACAAAGAAGAAAATCAAGAATTATTTTTTTTAAACAGTGACTCAGTGTAGGCAAACTAAGATAATAAATACAATATCTTTTCTAATTTAATTAGACCCTAATTATTTAAATTACACACACACACAAAGCAGAAAACCAAATTAAAAGTAAACAATCCAGCTACATAAAACATCAACATACAAACATTTTAAAGAAATATTTCATATACTATGTTTATAAGATGAAGAACACTATACTCTGTATCAAAGTACTAAATATAATGTAATAATAAATTCCAGGTTTGTGTATAGGAGAAATCAGACTTTAAAGATATATGTGTATGCACATATACATATATTCTTTTTAAATATGTATATATGTATGTAAAAACACATCTATTTAAAATCCAATTTCCATTATACACAAGTCTGGACATATACCTAGACCTAGACCTAGACCTATACAGTCATATTCTTCCCAAAACCTGTAAATGATGTTATCAATTGCATTTGAAGTTAAACAAGGCAGACAGAGTTCAGATCACTATAATTTATAAGATTTGATCTTGTAAATAGTCATACAAGTGCATTCTTTTCTAAGAAACTTTTACTCACAAAATATTAAAAAAAAGTAGCTTTGTATATGTTCATCAATGAAGGCTAAATAAGAATATGGCTAAATAAGTACATGAATAACACTGAATATTTTTAAATGTTGGTAGCTTTTAGGGTTTTTTGCTTGTCCTAGGAAATGCTAGCATATCTTCCAGATACCTCATTTACTTGTTTTTCTCTTTCAACAGGTGATGCCGCATTTTTACTACCACATAAACACCTCCTTCTAATTGATTTTTTTTCTTCTTTTCTATAAATATGGAAATCAAAAAATAATTATTCATTGTCAGCGATGGGTCACTGGCTGACTCAGTTGGCTGGAATGGCTATCAACTAACAGGTCCAAATGAAAAATACACTGGGGGACAGGTTCCAAAATGTATGTTGTCTTCTTTTTGCAGCATGCAGTTTCACACTGCTGATATGATCTACCTTCGCTCCTCAAATGCTCTGTTCTTCATTACATTACAGAGTGAAAAGTAATGCACATGTTTTTTGACCCTTGTTTCATATTACAAAGAAAAAGATCTGCCTTTGAATATAAGCGTGGAATTCATACTGACTTCCCTAAGAGATAGAATCATTTCATCCTTGATGTTGTGAATTTCTGTTCATTAGTGAAAATATTTCCATTTAGAATTCACTCAATAATGAAACAAGGTGTAAAGTCCTCTGTAGCTTGTATTTCTCTGGTCTAACCATATACACACTACATAAAAAACCCCACCAGTTCTTGCTTTAGACTAATAAAATAAGGTATGTTTTATGTATTTTAATAACTTGAATAGGTATGAAAGATCTGTATTTTCTTTACATATGTGTAAATAGATGACTATAAATGACATCTAATGTCTAATAGAGAATATAAATAACTCTACCTTTCAGAACTTCAGTAACTCCTGTAATTTGACCAGAAAACCTCCCAGAATTGATATGAAATGGTGTCTTACTTTTTTGTTTGAGACAGGCAATTGCCTTTACTAAAGAACTGAAAAGACTATAAGTAGGTAGGAAAAATAATGGGCTGCTTTAACATGTCCTAAACACTGGGGCTATATGACATTTCTGATGAGAACAATCAGCTAAAGTACTACTGCTGTGGTTGGATTCCTGTTTAATTACAATTGATTTTGACATAAATGAGCAGCGGTAAACAAATACTTCTATACACATGCTTGCTGTTATTAAACAGAGCTGTCTCCAATCTGAGTATTTATATTGGCTTGTCTGTTTAAAGGCTCCTTTCAGTTAGGCAAAGTAATTATGTAGCTCAGATTAGCAAAATCACTGGCAGTAAAATGAGAGTGGACTACCACTTTTTTAAATCTCTTGGATCTCATGGTCTTTTCCTGATATTATAACTACAAGGTTCTGAGATCTATAGTCCTTACACAGTTTCCCCATTGTTGGTTGTTGGGGTTTTGTTTGGGTTTGGGGTGTTTTTTTCTTGTTTTCTGGGCACTGGATAAAGATAATATATATATTTTTTTTTATATTGACATGGCATAAAACAGTTCAAAAACAATAAAAAAGATGGTGGTCCTATGGATTTAATTCTAGTTCACATTTGTCTAAAACCATAAATATTGAAGGAATATTTCAGAATTGCATGGAACACTACAGAACATTTGACATTTTTCTTACAGAAATATGCTTTAAATTCACACTTACAATTTAATGGCAATCACATATTTGTATTTAAAGACAGCGTAAGAGCACGAAAACATTTCTGTTACCTGTAAATTTTCCATCCTCACAGCGGGCTGGTCCACAGATCCCAACAATGGGTCTTTGGCCTCTGCCTTGCTGTTCTGGAGGCAAATCAGACCTGTGAGTCACAGACAGGTATAGGCTCTGCTTCCAAAATTCACAATGTCAAAACTTCCACAGTGGAAAACCAATTTCTATCAGTGGCCCAGGCACAGCCCTTGACATTTTTCACTGTGCTTCTCAAAGGTACAAACGCAGAGATCTATAGTTTGCAGTGAACTGAAAATATCTGAGTAGTAAAAAGGGCCTCTCATTTCTTCCTATCAGAGGAGAAAGAGGAGAGGCTGAGAATGGACACCCAGTTTTGGTTTCCAACATTTGCCTCTAAGTCAGCCTGGCACCTACTCTAATCTGCAGTAAAAAGACTGTATGACAGTCATGAAAAGATATTTTGGCCTTTTCCCCATCCCACCATAAAAAATTCATCCTAGCCCAGGGTTGCAGGGAGGAAAGGTACAAGGGCTAGCTATTCTGGCTCTGTACTTAGCTGAGAAGCTATAGGAAAACTTTAGTAATCTGACAGATTCATAGTTTTAAACTGGAAATCTTTGTTGTAGAGCCCAAAAGCTGTTTCCTGGAAAAGAAGAAAACCAACACTGCAGTAATTAACAGAAGAGAACAGGCTTGTGGATCTGTTAGAAAGAACATTTTTAATATAACACATTTTCCTACTCTTGATCAAGGCAGTTCCACAGATTTTAGAGTGGGATTGTTTCAGTACTGGCACCTGAAAATGCAATGACTCTTAAATCTAAAACCTAACTGAATTTGTGTAATCATTTGCAGAATTTGCATGGTATTCACATTGTTTTTTACTAACTTCATTGTGAGCTAGTCATAATTAGAGTATCAATAATTTTCATACCTAATTTTTAATATTTAGTAAATACTAACACTGTATATTGTACTGTGGCAATGTTTAGGAATCCAGTCATTAACCAGGTCCATTGTGAGGCATCCTCTACAAATATTAATAAATTGTACAGTTAGAGACAAGAGGTAACAAGTGGTTATGACTAACAAAAGCAATGAATGGGAAAGAAAGACAACATTAATGAAAATATAATCATGCTGTTGACATTTCCTGAAAATACAAATATAAAAGCTCCATAATTTAAAGAAGCTATCCCCATCTGTCACACCATCAACCCACCAACAATTAGCTATATATTACACCACTGAGCCTTCCTCACCAGTTGCCAATTATCTCAGTATTCAAATCTTTAATTAGAAAGCACCAAGCTTTTTGCTTTGTAAGCTTGTCTCATGTTTGGATATGACAACTTGTTTACAGACATTGATTGATGAGGGTGCCACTGAGGAGAGACACATGACAGGCTTCTGAAGAAATCTGTTTCTCTGTCCTTTTCATGGCTCTGTTTACATCCTGACTATAGGTAGACTCTCTTGAATGGAAGTCTGTCAGGTTCTGTTTAGAAGCATGATTTTGTCCATAACAGAATCAATGCAGTAAAGCTTTTCAAATGCTATCTGTTTTCCTTTACAAAGTCTCACAAAAAATGACTAAATGCTATACGGATGCTGAATCATTCAAAATCTGGCCACTTTGGTGAAAGAGACCAGATTCCTCCACATTCCTGCCAGCATGCCTGGATTTATATTCAAAATCTCCTTTACCAGACATAATGAGATCATGTCTCGTTTATACTGATAGATGGAAAAGCCCACTGGGTATCATTCTCTGCTTCAAAAGGTTGACGCTGTGTACAGGATATATTCTTTGGACTTCATGGGAGGTACAACACTTTTGACAGAACAGGAGGAAGAACACTTTTCATGATGCTGCTCTCAGAAAAACACTGAAGTTGTCCAGGCATCTTAAGGAACTCTCACTTGGACATACAGATACAGAAATATCTTCTTAGGAAACAGAAATTATTCAAGAGGTTCGTATAGAATATCCCCTATGCTATGATAAGTAACATATTCATTATTGTTTGATTAGATGGTGCCCTAGACTATTGTTTAGCAGATTGCTGGTGGTGTGTTTTATTACCACCTTCAAAAGAGATTTGCAGAAAGGGATTACCCTTATGCCAATTTATGAAACACCCACATTCTCTTAGGAATTTGAGTTTCATAATGCTATCCTACTTAGCTTTCTGCCTGGATAGTGCTCCAATTAGATCAACCAGAAAGAATAATTAAGGATGCCTTTTTCAAATCTGACTCTCTAAATACAACTAGTTTGGCAAAAAGAATTGTGCATGTAAACAGATTCAATACCATACTTTCAGGTTCTCCATGAATTTCTGGAAGACACTGAAGATGACTTCAGAATATTCATGTCTTCCTTTCCTCAGATCTTCCATCAATAACCTTAAGTTCCAGCTCACTTTCTTATATTTCAAGGATCGAGATTATAGATATTAACAACACTAATACAAAAAATCTCTCCTACTAGTTTCTTCTGTTTGCAGCAGCTGAACTCTCAGCTCAACTGAGAGACACCTTTTTACTTCTCATCTTTCAATTTGTTATAGTTTCAACTTTTGTACTGTGATGTGCCACAACATATCTTTAAGAAAAATTGGTAATTTGGGAACTATTTCCAAAGAGATTGTCAGGAGTTCATTGTTTTCACTAATATCTTCACTTTTTAAGCCTGCTAACTGTTAGAAGCTGGGGTTTTTTTGGTCTCTAGCAACCATGTTCTTATAATCATGTTGTCTGAGCCATGTTCTTATAAAAAGTGTATTTTAGTCCTGGAGATAGACTTAAAGGCTAGTTACAAACATCATAGCCAAGTAAGATGCAGTCAGGGTAATTTCTCTTAGCTGTGCCCTCAGCTTACTTATCTGAACACCCTACAAATGAAATCCAACAGTGAGGCATTAGATAAGTTAGACACTGTTCTGGAAAAAGAAGCAAAAGATGCAGCTGCTGCTACCTTTCAAGCTGCTGAAGGATTCAGAATATGTCAGTCAGTGTCAGTCTATTGACTTCCTTTAAGAATATCTTTACTCTGTAGAGGTGACGAAGATAGTACACCTCTAGAAATGGGGCAGACACGCTATAAGATGCAGTAAAACCTATTCTAGACATGGATCATGATCAACTATCCCAGGGTATTTAAAGAGACCTTTTCATTTACTGGAACTTATCACTATAATATTTACTTGATTTAGAGTTTCATGTATGTTTTTCACCGTGACTTGATTTTAATGGGTCCCCCTCCTCCCAGACTTTTTGTTCTATTGGAAAGAAAAGGCAAGAGGCCTCTGCAGTTACTATTGGCTTGAATTCTTAGTATCACAGATAGTGGGAAGTAGGGAAAACTGAGCCCCAATATCTACTGCATGTTTTGGGGGGTTTTTTTGTCTTATTTTGTGTTTTTTTCAAAAACAACCTCTGGGTTTCCTAATAAAAACATAGCTTTGCTTTGTTTTTCTTTAAGAAAAAGAATTGCTTTAATTCCCAAGGAGACAAAAATTGCATGTGAAAAACCATATCTGAAAGCAAGGCTCAGTCTGACCTTGAACAAATTCTATGAGGAATTAAGGTAAGAAAAAATTGTCTTACAGGGAAAAAAAAAAAACAAAACACCAACAACTTTTTTTTAAGCCCACCTGTTACATCACATGCATGGTATGTAACCCTCCTCTCAAGCATCTAAGAAACAGTTTAGCAAAGCTCTAAACTTATTTGTAAGCTCTCAAGTGGCTCACTGCAGTTCCAGCTGAAGATGGATACAAGGCAGCTAATTTGCTATCACCAAGGGAAAATGTTATAACATAAAAACATTCCCTCCCTTAGGTTCAAAACTGTTGCGTGCCTAGGGAGCCTGACTATTTGTAGAGTTGATACTATGCATATGCTTCCTCTGTAGCTGTTACATGCATACATCTGGCATCTGTCTCTGTGTTAAACAGATTTAATTGTCCCTAGTATTACTATGTATAAAACCTCTAACCTAAATGGTTAATGCAAAAGAAATAAATGAAAGGATATATGTGGTTTTTGTAGAATTATTTTTGCACTATTGGCAAAGTATGTAAAGAGCTCTGTGGCTATCAGCAAAATATTTTAGCTCTGCCTTCTGAATAACTTCAAATAGAGATTACACTCTTTTCTTAGCATGACATTTGGCACTTTGTACAGCCTCTTAATCAAATGGGCTTGTTGTAGCTGGAATTCTTTTTTCCATTTATTCTCCCTTTTTTTTTTTCTTCTTTTCTTGATTGTTGACCGCCCCCCTCCCCCCCCCTTTTATCCACATCAGCCTTCAGAGCATTTAATCATTTGCCAGACATAACTGGACAAATTATGAAGACAGGTAATTTCTTTTTTTTTTTTTTGTGATATTAGGGGGACTCTACATGTTAGTACATTATTCAGCTCACTGTTGCCAGCAACATCAAGACTCAGGCAAACCACTTGATTTCAGATTCCAATATATTTTTAAAAGATCAAAGAGCATGGCAAATCTTGTTCTTTGGCTAGGCAGACCACACAGAACAGTAATACACTAAAAGATGGAGGTAGCTGCATAGAACTAATACTGAGTTGGAGGCCTTTTGAAGTTATTTTAACCTTTGTGTCACTGTTCATCTCAAAACCCCCCAGCAAAGTAAAAAAAAAATGCTTCTAATTGAGAAAACACACAGAAATGAGTTCTTCCTGTAAAGTAAGATAAAAATGTTGGTGATTTGACATCTGACATCATTCATGGTAGCAAAACTGAAATATGCTCAAGGTGCTTCTTTTACTAAGATTCATTTCTCTAAGCAAGACTATATAGCATAGTCTTTCCTACGGCAATTGTACCTGCCTAAGTCTATTTAGGATTCAGGGAAGAGGTATTGCTACAGCTGTAGTCTTCAGAAGAGCCTGATTTCCCCCTACCATGTGCACTAAATCCTATTGAGCAGGAAGACAGGCCACAGTTTTTTCACCCCTCCTCTTTAAGCTCTATTATCATGCAAAAGGGAAGCAAACCAGAGAGAGCTTCCATCTAATCTGCTATTTAAGTGAGAGTTCTTGTCAATCAAGGGACTGAAAACAACCCCACAGGAAGTAG